TCTGACTGGGTTCTCCCAGCCACTCTGGGTGATATCAAACATTTAAAAGTTCCCTGAACAGGGCTGCCTTCAGATGTCTTCTAAAAGTCAGATAGTTGTTTATTTCCTTGACATCTGACAGGAGGGTGTTTCACAGGGTGGGCGCAACTACCGAGAATGAAGAGGAAGAGGAATGAAAGAAAATTATGAGACTGAGGGAAAAAAGAGAAAGAAAGGGACAGCTGAAAAGAGAAAATGCTAGTGGCCAATAGTTGAAAGAGAAAGGAGCAGATAGCAACAGTGTCTCAGTTTAATAATAATTTGAGATTTTTCATACAAGATAATATTGTAGCATTTCAGTAATATTTCATTTAGAGAGCTTTGCAGAGCTCTGCATGCAATGCTTAGAAATGTTTTGCAAGTGTAGCTCTTACCGTTTGCCCTGCGCTTTTCTGGTCTGTTTTTGAGCTCATTTCTTCTTCCCTGGCGCTTCCCCCTGGAAAACCTGATCTTTACCACTCAATCAAATTGCAAATAGCAATTTGGGTTTCCCCTGGAATGCCGTTTGCTCCGATTCAGCTGTCAATAGTGGGATTTTGCTGGGCAAAAGAGAAGTGTGTTTGTAGTAGCTGTTAGTGCTTACTGTCAACTATCCTTCAGTGTATAGTAGGAATAGTTATTCAAGAATGTCGGGAGATTAAATTATTCTACTCCCTTCAGAGCAGCAGAAGTTCCTTACAATTCCCAAACTCACTACTTTCCTATGCCTTTTTTAAATGGTTCAGCACTTTTGAAATAAACAATTATTCTGGAATCTGGATATTATGGCATACTGAGGGAGGGATTTCAATTTCTATATCCCCTTAGCCCCCTCCCCCGTTGAAGTGTTTCTTGTGATTAACAACCGCAGGAGGGGGGAGAGCTGGGCTACGCTATCTGGCTGCACCTGCTGCCGGTATCTCCTGCTTGCCTCATTCCTTAGCTGTCCACACACTGGTGGAATATCTGTCGTGGGGAAGACTTCTAAGTGCCCTCAGGCTCTCCTTCTTGTCTAGAAACTTGTACAGTCAGGATCCAGATCACCCAGAGAGTCTATGCAAGCTGAGCAGGCTTCCTTGTTGCTGACATTCCCCCAGCATGTAGCCCCCAGGGACATGGCAGCTAGCCTGAACCTACCCATTCATGTGATTTCTATTTGTATGAGGAAGAACATGTCAGAGGAAATGAAGACTCTGGAGCTCTCAAGAACTTTTATGGGTCATGCAGCAAGGACAGATGCACTTGCCTTCTCTTAAAATGCTTTTACTAGTTCCTGCAGACAGTTATTTTGTAAACATTACAGGACCAACGGACATACAAATTTCATTCTGAATGGAAATGTGATTGCTTTTATTTCCAGTGAAACTTGCACAGGCCAATCCATTTTAAAGCTGAAAGCTATCCTGGAAAGCCGAAAGATAAATGTCTCTTGTGAAGATAATTACAGGTAATTTTGTGTACCGGGTTATCAACATGTTTTTAAACAGCGAAGGCAAAATTAGATGTATGGAGGGGCATAAATCACACATACCCATTCACTTGGATATAAGGGGAGGGTGGGGAGTCTACCCAAAAAATTGGAGTGGTGAGCCTTTCTGCCCTTTACCCTAGTTGTTCCTGGGGGTGAGGTTTTTTCATCCTTTGAAATTCAAAGTATGGCCTTTGTGCAAATAAGAATCTAGAGATGGAATAGTGTCATAACTGCTTAATTTCTTAAAGGAGACGTTTCAGTAGGGCGTTTCAGTTCAGAAAAGCTTTGATTCCTCTGTAAGAGCTGAGTGTTAGCTCTTGGTGCTTCTGCAGCCCAGCCTGTTTTTTGCTGAAGTAGCGGCACCAAAGTGACCTCCCCAGAGTGCAAGCCGGGGCAGTGTTGATGGAGGTTCTGAGCTGCCGTGAGGACCAGACCTCCCTCTCATCCTTGCTGATGTGGCCCAAAGGAAAGCAGAGCAGCACGTTTGGCCCAACCTGTGCAGATAGTTAACTTTCCAGCCTGATAGGGCAATGAAAGCTTTCTGAAACTGTGGTTCACAGTTTATTCCAGGGGTCGGCAAAGCTGCAAAGCCTTGGGCCGGTAAACTGCCCCCGAAACCTTGGGGCAGGCCGGAGTAGGCGCATGGGTGCGGGCGGGCGCACATGCGAACATCCCGGTTTCCTTGCTGCCAGAGGTGGCGGTGGAGGAGGTGTCCGCAGCTTCCTATTGGCTGCAGGAAGCTCCTGCAACAATAGGAAGCCATGGCTGTGCCACACTGCACCAGTTTAGCTCCGTGCGGGGACTGGCTGAGTGGGCAGGCCTAGTTAAATGACCACCCCCAGGGCAGATGTGGCCCAGGGGCCATAGTTTGCCAACCCCTGGTTTATTCTGTTATATGACACAATGGAATAGCCCTCATGTTGTGAAGACAGAAAGACAGGGATATCTGAGATTATTTAAGTAATTATTTTATTAAATGGCACTAAATGCAAATGAAGTTGCAAGTGTATTTCTTATGTCTTGTAACAGGCCAGTTCGGTTGCTTCAGTGTACCAGTAATCCTGGCCACGCCAGCTGCGATGTCTGTTCCTGAAAACATGGTAGGTACCCTATGCTGCTTATATTGTTGTTCAACTTTGTATAGTATGGAATGGCGTTTCTAGAGGAAGTCAGATATAAAAGCTCAACTAGCTATCATTGTGAAAGACCTGTGTAGTTTAAACCCAGGCCTGCTACAAACTAGATCCAGACTAATTTAAATTCCACTCTCAAAGGGTCTACTTTAAGCATGAAAATCTTTGGGTCCAGTTCATAGAGAGAAGGGGCTGGAAGGGAAGAATGGAAAACTCTTCTCCTACTGTTTGTCATCCAAGATAATGGAAAGATTTGATAGGCTGTTTTTATTTATTTAGTGCATTTATCTTCTGCCCTTCTTCCAAAGATCTCCAAGTGACAAATGTGTTCTTCCCCCTGCCATTTACTTTCACACAAAAACTGTGAGGTAAAGGTTAGACTGAGAGATACCTACTGGCCCAATATTGCCTAGGGAGCTAAGTGGGGATTTGAACATGAGTCCAGATCAACACTCCAACCTCTGCAACAAAAGTGGGGAACCTCCATCCTGTGGGTCAGATTTGGTAAGGTAGAACTCTCCATTTTAACTGCAAGGCTGTATTCTCCAAACCACACCCACCTACCCCACATCTGACATAATATGTGGTGTTAGGTGTAGGGGTAGATGCCATGCCCGGGGCTGGAAAGAAGTCCCTATGCATCAGTTCCTTGCTTCACCCACTTGTCAGTCACCTGGCATCATTATGGAGAGATCAAGATTTGGCCTGCCAGGCCAAAACTGTTGCCCAATCCCGCACTACACCACATTAGCTCTTGTTTCAGCTACAGATGAGGATAAACAAAGGGCCCATTACAGCCCCTGTAGTTAATGCTAAGCTTTCCCTTGTGCTCATTACTGCAGAGGACCTCAGCATCGGAGGAAGACAAAGAAGAAAAAATCCACACACTTGAAGCAAGACCCAAAAATGTCACAGCAAATGATTTCTAGACAAAAAGGAGCAAGAAGTTCTCTACAACTACAAGACTCTCCTGAAGCTGGCATCACTTGGTCAATCTTCCAAGTACAAACTCTTCAGGACAAGTTCAAGAGGGGTTTTAATTGAAGTTGCAATGGGATATGGCATCATGCCTTGAAGGACTGTTTTGAAGGAAAAAAATGTTACTGCACTGAATAGGAGGTTTTATTCCTTTACATATGGGAAACCGTTGGGGTTATTTAATAAAGGCAAAATCCAAATGCAGTACACATCAGATTAGTCTACCTGCTCTTGAAGGGTTTGATTTTATCCTTTCTTCTTTACATTTGATACGTTTCATAATTTTTGCAAGAAGCGGGCACACTAGGACCTTGCTAAGTACCGTATTTTTCGCTCCATAGGGCGCACCGGACCATAGGGCGCACCTAGTTTTTAGGGGGGGGGGATAAAGAAAATTATCCCCCCCCAGCCCCAAAGAGCAAAGAAGCCAAGACAGTGAGCGGGATCCATCCTGCTGGCTGTCTTGGCTTCCTCTTTAGCCACGTGCAACCTCTCCAGCATATCAGCTACATTTCACATACTTAGACCAACAGTGATACATGTCCAACAACATAGTCCTGTAAATAAGTTGGGCGCTTGGAAACTCTGCCAGACCACCGGGGACTGGTAGCCAAGTCTGGGGGGCCACCCAATTCTTGCTGAGGCTGTGATGCGATCCTAGGTGGCGTTGAAACCAAGTCCCCTGGATCCGCTGCTGTGGGTGGAACCTCCGCAAGTGGAGCTGGCAGAATGTCAGGCACGGCAGTGGTCTGAGTCTGTGGTAAGTCTGGCAGACCCTCTGAAGCGGCTTGGTTTGGCTCCACGCCAGCAGTTTGCGAGAGAGGTGTAGGTGGAGCCTCACCATCTGTAAGTGTCTGTTCTGGAGCCACAAACACAGCTGGGAGCACCACAGTAGTGTCCAAGTCCCCAACCCTGCGCCTAAGCTGGTCTATGTGCCGGCGCCACAAGCGTCCATCTTCGAGTGCCACCTGTTACGAGCGAGGTCCAGTGACTCCCACTACTGTGGCTGGCACCCAAGGAATGTCCCCCACAAAGTTCCGGGCAAAGACCTGGTTTCCTGGAACAAATGACCGTGGCGTATTGGCACAGCCTGGGGATTCGGCCACGGCAAAGTCTGGGTGCAGCCGGTTGAGCAGGGACCTGAGGCGGCGGCCCATAAGCAGTTCGGCAGGACTCCACCCTGTGGCCGCATGAGGGGTGATGTGTTATACGAACAAGTATTCGGCGACCCGCTCGTGCCAGTCTCCCCGGTCCAGGTGCACATGTGTCTCTTTTGCCGAGCGCACCATTCTCTCTGCTTGCCCGTTGCTGGATGGATGAAATGGTGCCGTTAGGGCATGGCAGATGCCCAGTCCCAAAAGATACCGCTCAAAAGTGCCTGACGTGAACTGTGGTCCGTTGTCGGAGACAAGGACATCAGGACACCTGTGTGTCGCAAAGAGGCCTTGCAGCACCCGGATGACGGCCTCGGTAGTGGTGGAGGGCATCAGGGCCACCTCCAGCCATTTGGAATAGGCGTCCACCACTACCATAAAGGTCCAGCCGTGAAAGGGTCCGGCCAGATCGATGTGCACCCTCGACCAGGGTGTCTTGGGCGTCTCCCAGGTGTGTCCCTTAGCTGCCGGTGGTGCAGGCCTTGATTCTTGGCACGCTTGACAGGCGGAAACCCAGGCAGTGATGGCATCGTCCATGTTAGGCCACCAGACGTAACACCGAGCCAACGCCTTCATTTTGACGATTCCCGGGTGGCCAACGTGCAGAGCCTCCAGGACACGTTGACGGAGTCTTTGGGGAATCACAACGCGGTCTCCCCACAGCAGAGAGCCGCGATGAGCCTAGAGTTCATGTTGTCTGGTTGCGAAGGGCTGGAACTCTGATGCAAGAGGCCCTTGTGGCCACCCCCTCCACACCCAGTTGAGCACATGACTGATGGTGCGATCCTGGGCAGATGCGGAGGCCACAGTGGCAGCCGATACAGGCACTGCCAGAAGATCCTCAATCAGGAGGAGCGATGAAGCAGGAGCCGGGACTTCCACAAACGCTGGAAGAGGGCAACGGCTGAGGGCGTCGGCACGGCCCATCGATTTCCCCGGGCGATGGACGAGCCAGTAGTGGTAGGCAGCCAGGAAAACAGTCCATCACAGCATGCGTGGCGAGAGGACCAGTGGAGTTGGTCGATCACTGGCGAGGAGGCCCAGGAGCGGCTTGTAGTCGGTGATAAGGTCGAAAGTCCTGCCGTAGAGGTATTCATGGAACCTCTTCACTCCAGCCACACGTGCCAGTGCCTCCTTGTCGAGCTGGCTGTAATTCAGTTCCGTTGGCGATAGCGTCCTGGAAAAATAGGCGAGCGGTGCTTCTCTTCTCTTCTCTGGAAAACGATGACTAAGGACAGCGCCAATGTCAAAAGGTGAGGCGTCGCAGACAAGGACCAGCGGTCTGGCTTCACTGTACTGTACCAGCACACTGTCCGATGAAAGGGGAGCCTTGACCGCATTGAAGGCGGCCGTCTCCCAATGACCCCAGGACCAAGGTGTCTTCGTGCTGAGGAGTCGGTGAAGAGGCTCAGCCACCATGGCTTTGTGGGGCAGGAACATGTTATAAAAGTTCAGCAGTCCCAGGAACGCCTACAACTGCGTCTTGTTCTTTGGGATGGGGGCCTGCTGGATAGCGCGGATCTTGGATGTGGTTGGGTGAAGGCCAGAGGCGTCAATAAGATAGCCCAGGAACTCCACCTGCGGAATGGCGATCTGGCACTTCTCCCTCTTTACCTTGAGCCCGGCCTCCTGGAACCTGGTCAGCACGGCGCGGAGGCGCTCGAACAACTGCTGGTGTGAGTCTGAGGACACCAAGACGTCATCAAAATACGGTACCACGCCCGGAAGCCCTTGCAGGAGACGCTCCATAAGGCTTTGGAAGATGCCAGGAGCCACACTCACCCCGAACTGCAAACAGCAGCAACGGAATGCCCCTCGGTGGGTGACGATCGTCTGGGCTTCAGCAGTGGCATCATCGACGGGCAGTTGTTGATAGGCTTGGGCAAGGTCCAGCTTAACAAAGACCTTACCCTCACCCAAGGAATGCAGCAGGTGTTGAACAACAGGAACCGGGTAAGCGTGCTGCTGAAGTGCCTTGTTGATCGTGCACTTGTAGTCAGCGCAGATTCTCGCCGACCCGTCTGGCTTGACAGGCATGACGATGGGGGTTTCCCACTTGGCATGGTCAATCGGCTCCAAAACTCCTTGGGCGATCAGCTTGTCCAGTTGTTCGTCCACCTTAGCCTTGAGAGCAAAGGGAACCCGGCGTGGCTTTAGCTTGATAGGGGCGACTTGTGGATCAAGGCTAAAGGAGATGGGCGTACCTGTATATTGCCCCAAAGTGCCGTCAAAAACCTCGGCAAAGTCTTTGACCAGACCCTCAGTCTCTGCGTTAGAGATGCAGTTGATGCCGATGACTTCCAGGCCGAGGGCATCAAACCAGTCTAGCCCTAAGAGGCTTGGCCACTGACCTTCGACCACCACCAGTCGGAGCAGGCCCGAAAAATCCTTGAAGGCGATCCGGAACCGGCCAACGCCTACCATGGGAATGTCGTTTCCCTGGTAGTCTCTCAGGTGTATGCGGTGAGAGTTGAGTTGCCTTTTGAACACTCTGGGTACCAGTCTTTTGATGGTGCTCCAAGACACGATAGACAGGGCAGACCCGGACTTCCGGGGACAGTG